GTGTCTTCTGTCCAAATGTGGTGTTACGTTATAGTATTGATGCTGTTCGCATCATTTTAACTGTCCTTAAAAGCCTATCTAGTAAGAAGTGAATTGATCATCTTCCCAGTTTAAAGAAACAAACATGAAGAATTTACTTACATGATTTTGCTTATAGCATGAAATGGTTCTCAAACCCACAGGAGGCCTTCAGTAGACACTAAACCCAGGGGTTTACGCTAGGTTCTAAAGATCGACACAGAGGTTCATTAGGTGCCCTCAAAAGAGAAGGTAAGGATCTTGATTTTTTTAAGTCATAAACTGTATCTTCCTCGTACTAGTTATAAGGGAAAATCCTATTAAATCTATTGCCATTTCAAATATATCCTTACTGTAATGTCATATATTATAAACCACATCAATTCATAGAAATACAGAGGGTCTTGGAAATCATTTAGCAGCTAAGTTTGAAAGAAGTAACTCCCTTAGACATTAATTAGCCTAAGATCATAAAACTAATTGGGGAAAAATGTATTATCATAGTATATTTTAGCCCTCAATTTAGTGGCCTTTCTGCGACCTCGTAATCTGGGAGAAATGTATAAGCACAGCTCTTTTTTTTAAAACGCTGTTTCCATAGTTAAGATCTCTGAGAATATATATTAAAGGACAAAAGACTCTGAAATGACATAATGTAAGTCCAAGAAAAACAATTGTAGAACCCTAGTTTTGGAAATGAATGACCACCTTAGCCGTCATCAGGTCCAAAGCCCAAGTCTTAGGAAGAGTGATGTGCATCAGTTCATAGTTCCATTTTCTTTCATATAGTTGTCTACTGTGTGTAAAGCACTTGGCTGTTAACTGTGATGGGCCACAGGGCATTTTTTTACAATATTCTTAAAGTCTGACAGGAGTAGAAAGCTAGTAAGCAAATAAATACAATATAAGGTAAAATGAGTTAGGTGCTAAGATAGGGAAACGTTGAGTGCTTGGGGAGTTCATAGAATACTCCTTTCCAGCTAGAGACATTTTAGAGGCTTTTTGGAAGGCAGTGTTTGGGTATTCATCCCTCTTGAGAATCTCATGGACAACTGTGGATCATCTTCCCAGTTTAAAGAAACAAACATGAAGAATTTACTTACATGATTTTGCTTATAGCATGAAATGGTTCTCAAACCCACAGGAGGCCTTCAGTAGACACTAAACCCAGGGGTTTACGCTAGGTTCTAAAGATCAGTGTATGAAGGTTGGACAGATAAAGGAGGGTAGGAGGAGAGTATCTTTTAGGAGGAAAGAATGGTGTGAACTAAGGCATGAAAACTAGAAAGCACAAGATACATTTGGTGAATGGTATAATTCTGTTTCCCTGAAGTATAGGGTATATGAAGAGTATAAGGATGGTATAGGGTTAGAATGAGGGATTATGGAAGGCCTTGATTATAGACTGAGCAAGTAAGATATGTGGTAGGCATTCATGAGAAATTAAAGCTTTTTGAACATGACTGTGGGGATGGAAGATTACTCTGATTTAGGAGGATAACTTAGGTTTGAAATGGGAAGAGAGCAAAGATAGATATGTTAGCAAAATGTAACCTAAACATTAGTTGATGAGAACCTTGACTTTATAGCAGTGATAATGTAAAAGTGACAGAGTCAAGACATTGAAACACTGATGACTGGTTTTGGTGAGCTGCTGGAGAGGAAGAGGAGAGGGAACAATAAAAGAAAACCGACTTTTGAGGCGAGGTAACTAACAAAGGTGTTACTGTTGCCAAAACTGAGGAGAAATAGTGAAGGGATTAAAAATGTAGTAAGTTACTATGTGCTTTGACAACCCTATAGATGTTACCCCAGTTTTATATATGAGAAAACCAAGGCTGACAGTTAGAATTTGCCAAAAATCATACTATGAAGTAACCAGATGTACAGGACTCGTCAGGGAATTTTGAGTGTCTTCTGTCCAAATGTGGTGTTACGTTATAGTATTGATGCTGTTCGCATCATTTTAACTGTCCTTAAAAGCCTATCTAGTAAGAAGTGAATTCTTAGGTATACCCGAAATCTAAGGAGTCTTGTTTGTGGGTCATTGATTCGTTTGTGCAAACACATACATGGAGAGTTCTGAGGATAGACCCTGGGCTGGCATCCAGCACTGCCACTAATGAGCTCTATGACCTCGGGCAGGTTTACCTTCTGTAGGACAGTTTTCTCTTACTAAAATGGGGATGATGATAGTACTTACCCATTTCATAGGATATTATAAAAATTAAATGATTCAGTACATTAGCGTGCCTAGTATTTGCTAGTGAAATGAACAAGTGTCTTCTGAGTGACTGCTTTGTCCCAGTCACCATGTCACCATGTGAGAGCCTAGGGATATAGTAATAAACAAGATAAGCAGCAAGACTTACATTCATTTGAGGAGGTAGATGATTTCTGGCCTCTTTTTATCATAAGAGTGCATATTAAAGTTAAAATAGCCATCATCCATCAGTAACCAGTATTAGAGTATCTAGTTGAAGGATCTATTTAGAACCACACTGTCCATTTCGGTTGCCATTATCCATGAGACTATTCAAATTCTAATTACAATTAAATGTATATATAAATTCAGTTTCTCATTTTCTCATACATGTTAGCTCTATTTCTAGCGCTCAATAGCCAGATATGGCTAGTGGCTACCATATTGGACAACACAGACAGAGAATATTTCTAACATCACAAAAAGTTCTATTGGACAGTGCTAATCTGAAAGAAAATTGGATCTCTAACAAGAAACATTGTTAACAAGTTCTTAAATTGGAGCCACCTATGTATTTTTTTGTGCACGTTCTTTAACTTAAATAAGACTCTATACTTTGATCATAGGCATGTGTAAAAATGTTATTACCCTTGAAGGAATTTTCACGTGTACATTTTTTTTTTTACGCTTAGAATATTGTTCATTGCCAGGTAGGCAGTAATATTTATGACAAAAACAGAAGAATTTCTTCAAATAATTAATTAGACCCAATTGGCCCTGCTGCTGGTCCATGATGCTATATTTATTTTCCCAAACTGCACACATCTAATTTTGTCATTTTATTGCTTAGCAAATAAAATAAAATACAAACTCCCAGGCCTAACATTCCAGGCCTCTCATGATCTGGGGTTTGCTGATTTTTCCATCTAGACTCCTTAGCATTCCCCACATATAGTCAATCCTTTACCACCTCTATGTCTTTGCTTTTTCCATCTTAGAAGGTCTCAAAATAAACCCTGGCCCCAAATGCCTGATGTTTCTCAAATGCCACCTTTTTAAAATGAAATTTTCCCTGATTAGCTTAGCAAAAGTGATCTCTTCCTCAACTTGAATAGCTTTTTGTTAAACCATGTCTTTGAAGCTCACCACATCACTCCTTTACAGCATAAATATTTATAAACATGTAATTTTTTTCTTCTAAATTGCAAAATCTCTGAGGGTAGGAAATAATTTGCTTCTTTAATAGAACCCCTATTGTAGAAACTTAAAAGTTGCTAAGTTCTTTAAAAGCCATTTAGTGATGGCTGACTTAAAGCAAATGATAATAGTAGATAATAATTGAGTATTCACTGTGTGCTGGGCACTGTGCTTAGAGGTATGTGTGCGTTTACACCCTTGTTTGGTAGGAACTTCATGTTTAGATGTGGAAACTAAAATTTAGAGGCTCTGTGCCTTGCTCAGGTTTACACAGTTGCTGAATAGTTGAACTTACACTCAAATGGAACCAGTCTTTGACTCCAGAGCCTGTAGACTTAATGATACACCTTATTGGAACTTAGACCCTGAGAAATTCTGACTTAGTGTCTGTGATACTAAGAAACCTTGAATGTTAGAGATTTGTTTGAAGTTACCTCATTTATGTGAAACCTCATCATAATAAAATAGTTTGAATTGAAATTGAAGTGGAAATACTTCTTTTCTTTCTGAAGTTTTTTCTTTGACTACATGAATGCTTTAAAAAGGTCTATTGGCTGGGTGTGGTGGCTCACGCCCGTAATCCCAGCACTTTGGGAGGCCGAGGCGGGCGAATCACAAGGTCAGGTGATCAAGACCATCCTGGTCAACGTGGTGAAACCCCCTCTCTGCTAAAAATACAAAAATTAGCTGGGTGTGGTGGCGGCGCCTGTAGTCCCAGCTACTCAGGAGGTTGAGGCAGGAGAATCACTTGAACCAGGGAGTTGGAGGTTGCAGAGAGCCAAGATCGTGCCACTGCACTCTAGCCTGGCGACCAAGCAAGACTCCGTCTCAAAAAAGAAAAAAAAAAAAAGATCTATTGAAATGTGGTGAAGAGTAATTTTGTTTTAGTAAACTAGTACATAAAATTAATTTTTGTTTGCTCATTTACTTAACAGGACATCTGGAGGACCTGTTGATACTGGTCCAGAGTATCAGCAAGAGCTGGAGAAGGAGCTTTTTAAGCTCAAGCAAATGTTTGGTAAAGCAGACATGAATACATTTCCCACCTTCAAATTTGAAGGTACATCTTGTGAATCACAGATTCATTCTTGTGGGGGATAAGTGAAGAATATTTACCCTTACTTGGATTTTTGGAGAATCGAATGACAGTGTTAACGTGAATTTATTAGGACCATGATGTGTGCCTGAGAAGCTGCCGGCTAAATGTTTGCCATTAGAATAAGAGCAGTATAGGAAATCACATAACATAGCGATTAAATGGTGGGGATCTGAAATTGAATTGCCTGATTCTGAATCCTGACAATCGCTTTCAGTTGTGTAATCTTGAGTAATTAACTGTTGCATATTTCCTCATCTGACAGTTGGGGAGAATTATAGTATCTTCTGCATATGTAGTTAAATGACATAATATATGCAAAGTCAATTAATGGAATGCGTGGCTCATAGAAAGTGTTGCATAAATGTTTAGCTATATTTCTATGTAAATGTTTACAAACAGTAGATATTTACTAACAAAATCAGAAGATTGATGAGTTAAATATTGAGCATTTTACATAATCCATTTTCCTGCAGTATAGCTAAGCTTGACCTTTTTTTTCCCTTCTTCTTAGATCCCAAATTTGAAGTCATCGAAAAACCTCAGGCCTGAAGAAATAAAGTAAAATTAATCTGGTAATTTGTCATGGGTTAGCTGTACAACTAGTTAGATGTTTCAGAATAAACATGCATTTCATAACTGTCAAATGTTCTTTTAATTCTGAGTCCAAATAAATTATTTGGTGATGTTGAGTGTGTTCTTGATGAGTTAAGTGCTGTGTGTTACAGATGTTTTTAGATCCTTTCATTTGGTTATAATTAAGCAGATGAACACCTTGGATAAATTGGGCACAACTCGCCCGTAACCCTACTTGTCGTGGAGGGATGTTACCCTTCCTTTAGAACATGAAGAAATGGTTTATAAATTCTTTGTCATAGCTTTCTCAGAAATCTGAGTGTAATTTTTTTATATGTCCTGGAACATCTATTGTGTTTTAACTTTGATCTCCTCAAATGTTAAATAATTTTCTCCTAGTAACCCAGGTCCCTCATCTTTGCTTGCAGGTCACGGTGTATGTTACAGTTCTGTTCAGATTGATGAGGGAAAGGTAGGGATGAATGGGGTTCTATAAAGGAACTTACTTTAAAAGAGTAAACTATATGGTGGTGTTTTGTCCTAATAAGAAGAGTTCCAACAGATACATTCTAGATAAGTGTCATATCAGACATGGTCAAAATTTTAGTGACTATAACTGGCTCTCAAGGAAGTTACTTAAAAAAATTTTTTTTAATGGTCAAAATCAGGCTTACAAAAAAGTAAATTTTAAAGGAAAAACAGCCATGTCTTATTAGTATTTGACAATATCTCTGATATGTGTTAAATATAGGTCTTTAATAGATCTTTAAGATTTTCTGTAGAAGTGTGAAGCCAACAGTGTTTTTTTTTTTTTTTTTATTTTTTTTTCGGAGATGGACTCTTGCTATGTTGCCCAGGTTCAAGCAGTTCTCCTGCCTCAGCCTCCCGGGTAGCTGGGATTACAGGTGTGCGCCACCATGCCTGGCTAATTTTTGTATTTTTAGTAAAGACAGGGTTTCACCATGTTGGCCAGGCTGGTCTCAAACTCTTGACCTTAGGTGATCCACCTGCCTCAGCCTCCCAAAGTGCTGTGATTACAGGCTTGAGTCACTGTGCCTGGGCCAAAGGGAATAGATTTTTATTATGGCATACTATAGCTGAAGGCAAAACCTGCTAGGGAATACCTTTTTGAAAGATCTACAGATATTTCCTAATTATGTAGATACGATTAATATGCTGTGTAGAGAAGGAATTGGGGAGGGCAGTACAGTAGGAAGAAACAGCCCACTTTTCTTCAAATGTGGCTAAGCAGTGACAGAGCAGTTGAACTACTTTTACTTAAATAATTGCAGGCGTTGGAACAGAGAATCGGGTATTTAATTATGACACTATCTAAAGGTAATCACAGAAGTCTAGTTGACCCAGTGTCTTCCTCTAACCTACCCTGAAACAGCTCTCCTCCACCCACCTGTGGCTGCAAAGCCATCTTGTGTCAGCTGGAACTGCCAGTCAGTAGAGAACAAACTGACCTTTTCTGCATATGCTTCCTCTCCCTGTCTCTACCTCCTTCTTCATTCAGAGTTTAGCTGAATTTTACCTTTTATCAGCTAACACATACTTATCTCATTAACACATTTTTTACTTGTCTCACAACTGTAGAATTGCTTGAATATCCCAGTCTCTTTGTTCATTATTGAAACAGGGTTCTGTTTGACTGTAGGAAGCATCCTATTCTCGTGCCCTGTATTACAGGGCTGTGCATTTACATTTAACTTTTGGTCAGGCAAGCACTCCCTGTTTTCCAGCTGAACCTCTTGTGGTGCTGTGAGTCAGGGATCTTAACCAAGGCTTCGTCTTCCTCAGAGTCCCTTCCTCTTTTTGGCTAGACTGCTCCAACCCTGCAAACGCTGGCCTTTGTGCAGCACTTCAGCCTGCCAGGTCACTCCTTGTCCTGCACTTAACCATTCAGAACCACTTTATGTGATTACGACAAACGATCTCAGGCTTGTGGTTATATAAAATGGCTATTTTCCTCCTTGCCTGGTGTTATGAACTGAATTGTGTTTCCCCAAAATTCATACTTGATTGAATTGAAGCCCAACTTCCACTACCTCATAATGTGACTATTTGGAGATAGGGACTTTAAGTTAAAATGAGACCTTTAGGGTAGGTCTTAATCCTATCTGACTGGTGTCCTTATACGAAGAGGAAATTTGAGTTGAGGAGAGGTAAGGAGAACTAGAAAGGGACATGTGTCTGTTACTTACATAGCACTACCTTTAATAGTAACCCAAGAAGGCTTGGCAATTTTTACTTGTTTAACATTCAGTGTAGGCTTTTTTTGTTTGTTTTTGGCTGTTACTGTTTCTCTGATTGTTGCTGCTCCTGGGGTAGTAGCAGCCTTCCAAATGCTAGCTCTCTAGTAAGGTGCATGTATGAGTTCTTGTGGGGGGCCCTGTGGCCGAGGAGGTCTTCCCAGTCGTACAGATTCCATTCTCTTAAATGGCAGATTCACTCCTACTCCCTTCCAAACTCCCCTTAGCTCCCACTGGAATGATAAGTACACACTGTTTCCGATGTTTGCTCTGGGGAGGCACTGGCAAGAAGGCTCAAGGCCAGCTACTTCCAGTGGTGCCTACTGGACCCACGGGACACTCATGTCCTTGACCTAAGAAATCTTGGGAAAACAGGTGTTTCACCATCCTCCCCTACTTCGCTCACCTTTTTTTTTTTTTTTTTTTAAAGAGATGGGCTTTTCTTCTGTTGCCCAGGCAGTGGCTTGATCATAGCTCACTGCAGCCTTGAATTCCTGGGCTTAAGCAATCCCCCCAATTCAGCCTCCAGAGTAGCTGGCGCTGTAGGCACACACTACCACGCCTGGCCCTCCCCCTCTTCTTGATACTTTTTTCCAGCTCTCTTTCCATCGGCTTAAATGGCTCCTGTTTCCTTGGCAGGTGCCTTCAGTTTTTGCAAGTGATTCTCTTAAACATTCTCCTTACTTTCCTTGGGGTGACTTGGGGAATAGTACTCCTTATGACTTTGGCAAACTCATTCTTTGTCTCTTTCTGTCCCCTCATTCCTTCCCATCCCAAATCCATCCATATACACTTCAGCTTATAAGGACTGTGTGATGAGGTGAAGGGTAAAGAGTGGTGGTGGACTGGAGTAATTATTTCAGGGTAGCTGCCTCTTCATGAACAGTGAAGGGGTATTTATACCCAATGTATTTTTCATTTTCTTTTTTTGCAACAAAGTGTCACTCTTTTGCCCAGGCTAAAGTTGCAGTGGTGTGATCATAGCTCACTGCAGCCTCAACCTCCTGGGCTCAAGTGATCCTCCTGTCTCAGACTCCCGTATAGCTGGGACTACAGGTGCATGTCACCACACCCAGCTAGTTCTTCAATTTTTTGAGACAGTCTCACTGTGTTGTCCATGCTGTTCTGAAACTTCTAGATTCAAATGATCCTCCCACGTCAGCCTTCCAAAGTGCTGGGATTACAGGTGTGAGCCACTGCGTCCAGCCTTCATTTTCCCTCGAAAGTGGGATACTTGTTTTTAGTCTTTGAGCAACAGAGAAAGTCCCAATTAACATCCTGTTACATGAATATAGCATCTTTGTAAAGAGATGCTTATTCATTCTCTTTGGTATATGTTATCCTAAAATTTAGAAATAAAATGTTTCTTAACCTACAGTAACTTCAATTTATCAGTAGTTAAATTCTATAGTAAATATTTGGAAAGAAAGTTTGAGAATGAAAAATTAAGAAGTTGGCTGGGTGCAGTGGCTCACGCCTGTAATCCCAACACTTTGGGAGACTGAGGTAGGCAGATAACTGAGGTCAGGAGTTCAAGACCAGCCTGGCCAACATGGCGAAACCCTGTCTCTACTAAAAATACAAAAATTAGCCAGGCATGATGGCCAGTGCGAGTAATCCTGGCTACTCAGGAGGCTGAGGCATGAGAATCGCGTGAACCCAGGAGGCTGCAGTGAACCAAGATTGCGCCACTGCACTCCAACCTGGGTGACAGAGCGAGACTCTATCTCAAAAAAAAAAAAAAAAAGCATAAGCAACTTTAGGACTCCAACTATAGCTCTTGGTAAATCTCTATTTTTATACCATCTTTAAGAAACTTTATAAATAGCACACTTGAAGTTGAAAATTAAAGGGATCATGAGATGGAGCTTTCAAACAGCCTACTTTCAATCTCAAAGAAGTTAAACAGGTCCTTTGTTGACACACACTCTTCACTTGTTTTGAGAGTATTTTCTTGGTAGAAAGTAAAAAGACATTTTACACTCTAGTTTGTCTTATTACATTTTTTCAAACCTGGTCAAGTAAAAACTTGGCATATATTGAAAAGTAAACAAATATTGAAAGTATCACAAATGAAAGCTTTTAGTTTACCTTGGATTTCTTAACCAGTTGTTAACACTAAAAGTGTTCCAAAAAGAGAAAACAAAAGATGGAAAATTAAATTTTAAAAGTTTAAAGTTGGAAAAATATTTGCAGAGCTTCTTAAGAACTGTGTGGAAATTCATGTCTAATTGCTAAAAGACTGGTATGAGAAAAATAGTTTCCGTCCAACCTTCATTCATGGAACAATTTTGTAACTTCACATATTAGATAACTATTATAATTACATATTTCAGACTATCATTCATTAATATTCTAACAATTTATGGGGAAATTTTATAATTAAATACTAAATTTGCTCTTTGACAAGTGTTCCTTTGATTTTTAAAAATTCATTTATCACTTATTAAATGCCAACCACGTATTAGATGCTGTTAAATTATTTGGGTCTTATAAGGTTGTGTAAAACATAGTTCTTTTCTCAAAATGCTTCCAGATTGGTAGGGGTGTCAAACATGTTCATTCCTATCATGGGATAGAAACCAGTAAGTGAATCAAGGGTTATGGAAATTCAGAGAAGAAAGAAACCTTTTCCAGCAGAGGAAATGAGAGAAGGCTGTCCTAGAGGGGGTGGAATTTGACCTGTCTCTTAATGAGTAGATAGAATATACAAGTCTTGTGTTTACGAGAATTAGCATTCCAGGTGGATGGGGTATTATAAGTAAATGTATAGAGGAGGGGGAAAAACAGGTTAAGAGAAAATGACCATAGCTCAGTTTAATGGGTGCATAAGGCAACCAAAGAAGTTAGTAGAACATGTA